CAATGAGAGAGGAAAAAAGATTTGTTCCCTGTTATGAGCAGAAAAACTAAGGCTAGGATGTTTGAAATGTAAATCAGTTCATAGCATACAGTACTACCCAGGGAGGGAGACCTCAGCAGTTCTTTGATAAAAGTGAGGTAATATTTGTAAATATCTTAGCACAAAGCCTGGCACATAGTAGGTGCTTAATAAATGTTTATTTCCTTTGTCTTTAATTCTAAATCCTCTGGCCACAAAGCTAGGATGCTTTCCCTGTCTGAATTATTAATTATGCTGGGAAAAAATGCCTATCTATCTATCCCATGCAAAGGCAGCCAGGAATTCTGGGGGTATTCCGGAATTGGCATTATATAGCTTCCCTAGCTACCAAGCAACTGCAAATCCTCCTTTCTCTCCAACTATCCTGATTCAGGAATAATGGAGAATCCAAATCCTGAATGCTAAAATTAGCCCAGGTCTAAACTGTGTCTTTTTGAAAAAGTTAAAGCCTTTCATTTTTCAAAATGTGGTTTACAAAATTGGTTACAGATTTCAGCATCTCCAATTCCAGCATTCAAGTAAAGAAAGTCTGGACATCATGAACTTTCCCCCAGTTCTCTTAAGTGCTTTCTACCCAGATGGATTTGGGAACGAGTTCTACAATTCTGAGAGCTGGTGGGTAGGTCCCAGACATTAATAATCAAGTACATTTCAGGGAAAAAAAAGGATAATAAAGGGTGACAGAAGCCCTTCAACCTTTTCCCAATGTGTTCTGTTCTGCAGCTTGATATAGTTGTTGTATTTTGCATTTCTCCAGTATTTCCAATTACTTTTACTATTCATCTGTAACAGTAGCCTTAGTGTTTAAAAGTTCAGAATTTCAAGGCAGCTCTTGTAAAGTACATTGTGTCCTTTTTCTGTTTTTTTAAAAAGTATGTATTCATCATTTTCATTAAAAAAAAATAACTTGGGGGAGGCAGTATAAGAGTACATAGCATTATTAGGTGTTTTACCACTTTCTAGTCAGATAAGTATTTCAACGACCAAGTCTCAGTGGAAGGTATATAGAGTGTAGTGGAAAGAGCATTAGATTTGGAATCTGAGGTCTTCATTGCCAATCTCAGGCTCAGCTACTCACTGCATATGTATGACCTTGGGCAAGTCACTTTAATTCTGTGACCTCAATTTCCTCATTTGTAAAATGAAGCACATTGGCCCTTCTCCAGCTCTTATGAACTATACTGTTCAATGAAATAAATTAATCATTTATTAAGCCCCTACTAAGTGTCAGGCACTGTTCTAGGCCCTGTTCTAAATGCAAAGCAAAAGCAGTCCCTGTCTTCAAGCTTATGTCTTGATAGGCAGACAACATATACACAAATTGATATATCAGGATAAATACAGGTTACTATTTTTTTCTTAAAGTCTATAAGGCTATGCCTACCAATTAACTGTCTGGACCAGTGAACTAAGAATGGCATCCAAATAGTAATAGGTTTACATATTTCTAAACTGATCCCATATGATCATATTAGGGTTTAAAGGTATATCCTGAAAAAGTTTCAGGATTCAACCACGGATTCATAGAATTGTCTCAGTTTTTGCTCAAGCCTGTAATTGGAAAATTCACAAAAATAATACCAGTTGTTTGAGTTTCTTTGTTTTTTCCCTGCCGCTGGTTGGCTGTATCAATAAGTCAACAAAGACTTATGTGTTCAGTACTCTGCTGGTACACAGGACTTCTGCTTAAGTGTAGGTTACACTAGATAACCTCTGGGCTTCGTGTCAATTCTAAGATTGTATGATTCCACTGTGACAATAGACACTTTTCCTGACCTTATAGTCTAATTGAGGTCATATGAAACAATTAACTCCCAATATAAGATGGGATACAATTAGGTGATTTGGTTATGTACTACAGATGTTTAGAGAAGGAAGAGTGAATGGAATGTGGAATATCAGAGAATCCTAGAATTCAAGAGTTAGAAGGACTTTGCAAGATCTAGTCCAACCTGAGGAGGATCTGTACACCTAACACACCACTGAACTCAGGAGAGAACTGAGTTTCAAAAAAAGTAATTTGGTCAAGATCCCATGGCTCTTTAGTGATATGGTCAAATCTGGTAGGTGGAGAAGGCTTCATTAAAAAGCTGGAACTGGGGCTGAGCCAAGTGTAGGAAAAGAGGCAAAGACATTTCAGGTGAAAGGATGGTACAGAGAACAATTTATTGTGATTGCTAAAGATCAGATCAGCCCCACCTCCAACAGTCCCTGTCACTTAAATGCAGATTCTGTTCTTCCGTTTCTTTCATTTTTAAGCCAAAGGATACTTTGACTTACCTCTAGCAGGTTTGAACATTAAATGCCTTCCAGCACCCTGCACTCTGATGAAATAAACAAACAAGCAAACAAATGCTACCCACCAAGGAACATAAAGATAAACCTGCAGAAAGACACTGGCCTACATCCTCACTGCAGGTGCCTATCTAATAGAACTGAGGCAGATAGAAAGGCTCTGTCTGTACTGTGGTATCCTGCCACCATTTTTAGAATGAAGGTAAGTGAACAGCAGAATGTAAGAAGTACAAACCAGTAAATAGGATGTAATTATTTGTAAGATTCTAAAACCTCTACTACCTTCGAGGAAAGAAGTGTGCACAATTTTAGCAGTTACTTATACTTCTCTTAATAAGTTAAAATTCTGTGTGTACACACACACGACTGGAATATAGTATTTAACAAAAAGATTCCCCTTCTATTCTTTAAATATCTGTTGATAAGGAAGCTTCTTTTCTTCCCTTACTGAAAGTTTACTCTATTAACATTTATGCAAGGATCATAACGATACAGTAAAAAGTATCCCAAAAGTTTTTTGTTGTAAGCTTTTGAAGCTTATAACTGCACAAAGGCTTTTGGTGCATCCTCTATTTAGCAAGATTATTCTTCCAATCTCCACTTCCTTCACTTAAGGCTTACTTTATTAACATTTATGCAAAAATAATAAGATCATGCAAGGGTCCTCTAGTCCAATTCTTTCATTTCACAAATGAGGACACTGAGGCTCAGAGAGAAGTGTCACAAGGTCACACAGTGTTAGACCTGGGATTCCACTGCAGGTCCCCCATCAAACTGGGTACCAAGTAGCCTATTCAAACTTCAGAGAAGAAAATATGGCTGAATGACAAACACCCAATTCATATTTGCAGTTTTCTGTTCAAATGACTGTCCATGCCACATTTAATGCCTTATAAACCATAATTTTTTTTTTCCTAAGAAGGCAAAACATTCATTTTTTTAAATTAAGAGGACAGGTTTAAAAGAAACAAAAAAATCAGTTTATCTTTTTATTTTATTTTTATTTATCTTTTTAAAAAGACATTTCTGGAGGTTATTACCTCACTCCTTTCCGCATACACAAAGTTGTTAAAGAAATTGCTACAAAGTGTCTTTTCTTCTTCCAAAAAAAAAAAAAGTATCACCAGACAGCTTTCACTTAACTGAACATCAGGCGTTTAAACTGCCAACACTGAACAAAAATATTTTAGCGTGTTCAATTATTCACTACATTTCAGCATTGACTAGGTATTTGACTATAGTACTACTAATAGTTGAACAAACATTTGTTTTCAATATGATGTGTAAAACACATTGCTAAGCTTCAGAGGAAAGATTCAGGTTGAGTTTACTGAATTCATGACGCTTGTAGTTAAATGGGAAGACAATTAAAAAAATACAAGTAAATGTAACACACAGTAATTCATGGTAAGTGCATTACACTTCTAAACACAAACTGGACACCTACTGAATCTTTAAAAGTTCCCAAAGTGGTCAACCAGGTTAGTAAACCACGGTAGCAATGAACATTGTAATTAGTCACCATCAAGTGCATGAATACAGTTTTCCAGCCAGTGTAAAAGCAAAATTTTAAAACTATGCATTGAAGAGATTTCAGCAACAAAAACGATTTCACAATTCTAGGTAAGACAAAAGACTTTCGTGCCAAAATTTCAGCCCCACAGAAATTTAAAGTCGTGGAGTACTTTAGTGCCTAGGATAATAATGTCAATGTGATTCTGAAAGACTTAGGAAACAACAGAAAATTTCAATTAAGAGAGGGAAAGCAAAGTGCCAAGGGAGAAGAAACTTAAACTAAGAAGTCTTGCGGTTCGTGAATGCATTACTCGCCCACCTCCCAGAGTGCTTAATTTGGATATTAAACCTACAATTTACTTACACTGTTTCTTTCCATTTATCAGCTTCATTAAAGATACAGCGGAGCAGGTCACCAGCAGAATAAATAAGGTTTAGTTCGGATACAAGTTGTAAACACGACCTGCAAATTTACATCCCAGAAAGTCTAGTTTGGAGACACCCTTTAGAACCTAACATTATATAACACAGGCTGTGTATTGTGAAATAACTCATTTTCGCCTTCTAAACACTAAATTACAATCAAGCCACAAACTCCCAACCAGACCCCTCCCCCCCAAAAATGAGCCTTTTCATTGGTCTGTATTGTCCCAGCCCACATGGTATCAGCGGGTGTGTCCCCCCGGTTGGGCACTCTGATTGGTTACAGGAATGCACCATTTCATAGGCTGTGATTTGGGGATTGTCAAACTACACACCTCCTGACTAGACGTTCACCAATAGACCAGTGAGGTTGGAGGCTACTCTGCAATTCAAAGGGCAAGAAAATCGTCAGAGGAGCGAAGGGAGTAAGAGGCTGCAGCCTCGGGGAGCCGGCCGAAGGCGGCCCCTCCTCCCAGCCATGGTCCCCCGCAGTGCATTCTTCCCAACCACAAATAAGACGGCGCGAGCCCTTACCGAGGGTAAATGCCCCACTGCCCATCCCTCCGGAGTAGCGTAAGGCTGTCACGAGTAGTACCCTCACCGGAGGCCGCCCCGTGCAATCCAGGGGTGTGAGTTGGGGGCGCCCGGACGGAGTGACAACCCCCTCTACCCCCAGCCCCCGCCCAGGCTCCTCCGCCCTCGGCTTCCCCTCCCCCGGCACCACTTACGCGGCCTGTTCTTCCTCCCCGAGTCCATTCTCCTCCGGAGCCTGCATTTCTTGGCCGGGGAGTCGTGGAGCGGCGGCGGCCCGTCGGGCTGCGGCTGCGGATGCGGATGCGGCTGCGACTGGGGCCGGGGATCCGCGCTGCTGCTGCTGCCGCCTGCGGAACCCCGGCCACAGGGTCGCGGCTGCAGCTGCGGAGGCGCCGGGGGCGCCGAGGGGTGGAAGCCGTTGTGCAAGACGCCGTTCACCAAGGCCGCGGCACCGCCGGGGCCCCCCGGAGGGTGAGGGTGCGGGCGCTGGGCCGAGCGCTCGGGCTGCTGCCCTCGGTCTCCCATGCCGGAGCTGGAGAGGGCGGGGGCTGGACGGGGTAGCGCGGGAGGACGGAGCCCAGCTCAGGTTCGCTTGCTGGAGGTCATTCTCGGTCGTTTTTATTTCCCTGGATCCTCCTCCCTGCGGCTTCCGATCCAGCCGCCGCAGCGCCGGCCCCGGAGGACGCCGCCGAGCCCTCCGCTCCTCCCCTCCCCTCCCCCCTCTTCCCTCTCCTCCTCTCTCCCTCCTTCCTCCTCTCCTCCTCCACCTCCTCCCCCCAGCCCCTTGGCCCCACTGCGCCTGCTTCGTACATGCCAGCCCACCCCCGGGCTGGGCGCTCGGACTCTGGCAGGCCGGGGGCGGCCAGTGCCCTGGGATCCCCACACCCCGGGTGGCCGAGGTTCAAAAGCTTCCTCTGGCTACCCAGACCTGTTCCCGAAACTGAGCATGCCCGGGTCTTCTCAGATTTGCCCCACTGGCGGCTTAAGTGGTCGGGGTTCGTGCTCCCTGCATTCCTGGGGGCACGAGCTAGGAAACTGTGGAGGGTGGGTGCGAGAAAGGAGCTGGTCTAGAAGGAAGGTGGAAAGAATCCTTTCATTTCAAAGCAGGAAAGGACACTTCTTTTACTCATCTAGTTCAACTGAGTCAGAGAGTGGGGAAATGACTTGTCTAATATCACATAGGCACGCACAAACTCGGGTTGGTAAGAAATCGAATACGGGATCCTGAGCTTTTCTCCACATAAGCAAAGTTTCACCCCACCGAAAACACGATAAATCCTTTGCAAAGCCATTCCCTCTGGCCCCTGGGTTCTCAGAGTAGTTTTTATTTGTGGGGTAACTGGCTGATCTGAATTTCCTCTGAGATTTCCTCCGTAATAGCAATAAATAGCATTAATATGTGGCTTTAAGATTTGCAAAGCATTTTACATATAACTCATTCAATCCCCTCGACAACCCCGGGAGGTAGGTGCTCTTCTTATCCCCATTTTACATATGAGGAAACCAAAGCAGATAGTTTAAGTGACTTGTCCAAGGTCATATAGATGGTCTCCGCGGCAGGATTTTCTCTCAGGTCTTCCACTAACTCCAGCACTCTATCCACTGCTCCACCTAGATGCCTCACTCAATACATAATTTTTACTTTACTTTACTCAGTACATAATTGTTTGAGTCTAATCTCTCTTCACCTCCCACCCCCATCGGAGTGTGAGCTGAAGGCTTTTTTGCCTTTCTTTTGTATCCCCAGCGCTTAGTGCAGTGTGTGACTGTAGTAAGCCTTAATAAATGCTTGTTGACTGACTGACAGTAAAGGGGCAGACTGGGTGGGAGTGGGGGTGGTGAAGGAGAAGGACATTTATTTATAGAAAGGTAGGCAGACGCGGTAGAGAGGGAGGGAGGTTTCTGGGCTGGCAGTCACACACCATGAGGTCACTATGAGTTTTCTTTCCAGAGAGAAAACTTAGGAACACAGTGAAAGGGGAATTAAAGGACACGATGGGGGATAGGGTTACCTGAAAATGGAAAAGCAGAAATACAGGGGATTTAGGGAAATTCCACCCTCTGGAACAGAGAGGGACCTTGGACCCCATCAAAGGCAGCCAAGGGCTATAGAAACAGGGGTCTAATCCCCAGAGGACACCACTAATATAAGGTGACCTTGATCTGGAAGAACCAGCAGTACTGGTCACCAGAAGTGGAAGTAAAAGGCAAACATCCCTTTAATTCCCTCCAGGCTGTGCACAACCCTAAAAAGTCTTGGGTTTAAAATACAGCCTTAACTGTGGCTCCAGAACACCTAGACACAGCCTTGTTTCTGTTTTAAAAGCCTGGTGTTATTTGTGGATGAGTGACACTGACACAAGCTGCTATTTGTCTTTTACAATTTAATCATTTTAATAATAGGTTGTTATGCTACAAATGGAGCCTCTACTCTGTGCTTAGCCTGTGTGGTGAATAGACCCATAAGGGTAATGAAGCTGTTTAATTTGGTGAAGTATCATCTACTGAGTGATACTTTTCTCAGAAGCCCTCTCACTTTCTACAGCTTCTTCCTGCTTAAATTTTTTCTGGGAGGAAAAAACGAAATCTATGCTTGCAAATACCTACAGTTTTCAAACTCCTGCCTGGGTGAACTGTGCAGCCTTTAATGGGCAAGGTAAATTTGGAATGCAAATAGGAAGTTTTTGCATTACAGTATCTACCAGGATACATTATCTCTTTCCTCGTCCTCATTCGTCCCCCAAGCCTTGTGCTTCACTTCAAGCCAGATGGCCCGGACCCAGGGCAAAAGTGACTGCCCTGGGGACAGAACGTCCTCCACCTTGTTAATTTCTTATACCTCTTGATATGTGGGTCTTCTAGTTCTGTTACAGCCACTCTCTGCTTCCAATGACCAGTGGAAAAGAGCCAGGTTGTAGCTCACACGCTTAACCAAGGGGGTGTGAGAGAGGATGTGTTATGAGTGTAACTTGACCAAAGGAATGTGTGAAAGGGGAAGGAGTCTTTTAGAGCATGAACAAGAAGAGAGACTTTTACCTCCTCTCTCCAGTAGTCCTCACTAGGGGCAAAAGAACCTATTCATAGGGTCCCAGAACACATAACAACTCTGGTGATATCTGCCAGGGTCCCAAGAAAATGTTCTGATACAGGTGCTAGTCACCACCCTCAAGGACAAATAGAGCAGCACTATAGCAATGACCTTGAAGCCTAAAGCAAAGTTTATATCCATCCTAGCCCATCCCCCCTCTACACACATACACACACACACACACACACACACACACACACACACACACCTCTTCCTTTTGTGCTGCCTCCAGAATCTGATTCAAAATTCTTAGGCCTAGAAAGAAAAAACTAAAGTCCTAGCAGAGACAGAATGTCACTTCAAATGCCCAGGCCCTTTTAAGAGATTACTTGTTATTTCTCCCTTCTCAACCCCAACCCCTAAGGCAGAGCTGTTTAAATACTCCTAAACTATTAAAAATAGCCATAAATTGAAAGCTTCTGTTACCATAAGTTGCCCTCCTGGGAAAAGTTCTAGTTATTATCTTCAACCCAACCCCAACTTCACTACCCCTTTAGTTTCTCTCATTTTAACTGTGATCATCAGCCATGTGCAATGTCTGCTCCTTCTGTCATCCTGTAGGAACCTTTGACCTGTTCTTGTTTCCGATTCCAGCTCAGACTTTCCAGTTCTACCTGACCCCCAGCTTGCCTAACTCTTAGCTATTAGCCACAATATATGCCTGCCTATCTTCATTACTCACATTCTCAGGAAGCCACCTAGGTCTCTATGTCACACTATTAACACAGCCTGGCACTGGATAGGGCACATGGTATTTGTTTAATGGTCCTTAAATGGATGAATATTTTGATTAATTGAGGATTTTATCTCATTAACAATATGAAATCTTCCATGAATGAATGACCATATATTAAGGACTGTCCGGCATTGTAATAAGCACTGAGGATACAATGTTTAAAAAAGAGAGGCCTAGCCCCTTAAGGAGCTTACATTTAATAAGGAAAGAGATCACCTATGGGACAGAGGTGACCAGGGAAAGCAGTTTTGTTCTGAGGAAGTGAAAAGTGAAATAAGCAGGGGGGAATGAGGTCCTACAGGCAGGTAGCCAGGTGGATGACTGGACAGGATGTGAAACTGAAATGTACGGCATCTGGATTTTCTTAGGCTCTATCTTCTCTCCTTCTCCAAGGGGGAGGGGAAGGGGATGCCCTTGACAGCAGCCCCAGTCTGCCAAGAATTAGTAACATTCAAGGGTAAGTCTATGTAGTTGGAGGAGTGAGGACACCTGGACCCTTCTCAGAAGTACCAGAAAATGATAGGAACATGATGTGCTAAGGACAGAGAGTTTACAAACCCTATGGGAGCTCCCAGTCTAAAGAAGGGTAAGCTCCTTGGATAGAAGAGGAAAAAAAATCCTGAGAAACACCCATACCTTGCCTCTCAGACCATGCCATTGAGGGTGCAACCCTTTCTGCTGGAGCAGGGAGTGGGTGTCACAGATTTCAGTGGCTCATCATAGCAACAAGGTCCCATCAAGTTTTACTTTACTCTCTAGCTGTCTGCCTGAAAGTTGCATTGCTGACTTCTATACCCTTCTCCCCCTTCCCCTTCCCCATCCACATCCACATCCACCTCCTGCCTTCCACCCTTCCTAGTTCTGGAATCATAACCAAATCAATACTGCCTTGATTACAGTTGGAAAGGATGTGGCAAGGCACTGTCCCTAGGGCTGCACTCACAGTCCTTGTGACTTTCTGAACAGAAAATACTCCCTCCCTGATCACTACTCTCTTATAATTGCTGTTTCTCCATATTAGAATATAAACTTCTTGAGGGCAGGACTGTCTTCACTTTTATATGGTACTTATAGGCAACTAGGTTTCACTCTGGAGTCAGGAAGGTCTGAGTTCAAATTCAACCTCAGACACTAGTTGTGTAACTGTGAGCAAGTTACTTCACCTCTGTTTGCCCCAATTTCTTCGTCTGTAAAACAGGGATAATAATAGCACCTACTTCCCAGGGTTGTTATGAAAATCAAATGAAGTAGTAATTAGAAAGCTCTCAGCACAGTACCTGGCACATAGTAAGGGCTATATAAATGTTAGTTATTATTAGCTATTATTCTTTAATACAATGTGTGGCTATCTATCTATATATGTGTATGTATGTATGTATATATATGTGTGTGTGTGCGCCCACACACACACACACACACACACACACAACTATAACGAATGAGACAGTATCAGCAGCCTGGTGAAGTAAAAAGGATGTTCAAATCCCAGTTCTGCCACCAGTGTGGCCTTGGGTAAGTCACAGCCTCTATGGGATTCAAGTCAATCATCTGTAAAATGAAGGCATCATATTGAGGTTTCACCAAATATATGGTCCTATGGTGAACAAGGAAAATAAATAGAGTTTTGTAGCAAAAAGCAGATTCAGATCATTGAAACTACTAAACAATTTCTACTCTATTTATTTAGGTAATTGGGGTTAAGTGACTTGCCCAGGGTCACACAGCTAGTAAGTGTTAAGTGTTTGGTCTGAGGTCAGATTTGAACTCAGGTCCTCCAGACTTCAGGGCCAGTGCTCTATCCACTGCTCCACCTAGCTG